GTCCATGCGTGTTTTACGAGTTAGCGTAAAAATGGACATATGCAAGTCTACTAGGAAGGTACTAAGAGCTCGCATTACCCCTTTCCGTCAATGCTTAAAAAATACAGCAATTTTGGCTGCCGTACTTTATTGAATGTGCATATCACATCCGAAAGTTTATAGAAAAGTAGATGGAGTACAACACTAATGAGTGACATTTATTTCTATAGAAAATAAAAGATATAAAAAGCTAAAAATGCTACAGCAAACACTTCGAGACCAGCTCAATGGTATCGAGTCCTTTTCTAAACGCCAAGAAATGCAATAAGCAGGAATTTACACTTTGGTAAAGCATATAGGATTAACTGCATTTGTTGTCCTTGTAAATGATCAGTGATTAATGCTGTACCACTTCACGGGCTGTAAAATCAATCCACTGTTAAACTGCTCCAATAGGTGGATATGAATGATAACATTTGAAACTCCTAACCATCTCATTATTGAGAAATAATTCCGGTTTTCCGAAAAGTAGTCCTTACTTAGCCTCGGGATCATACTCAGACCAGAGTCGAACAAACTCGTCCAAATGATGCGGTCCCAGGATTGACCAATCTCGTGTGAGGTAGTCAAAGTTATCCATTATAACAGCCACGAACAGATTGATAATCTAGGGGAGACAATGAGATGAATGAGATCTTTCACCAAACACAGTTAACAGGATTTCCAACTTATTTTTAAGCTTCCAAAAGTGTACTAATTTAATTAAACAAAAAGCGTTGAAGTACGCACTGGCTGACGTTAGCAGATCTGCTTTCATTTACTACTCGAAGTCTGGGAACTACGATAAAGCTAAAAGGACACGGGGGGAATTCCGCCTTGTCAATGCGGCAAGCATGCATTTTAAGGCAGCATCAATACGTTCGTGCTAAATATATATAAAAACGACTTATTGGTGCGACATGCCTTGAAGTGAGAATCATGCTTTCTATCGTGCTAAACCACTTCACAATAGTCTCGAAATAATACCTAATGGCTTCAAAAATGGTCAATCACCCAGCATTCTTCTACTCCCCAAAGCTATGCCAAGGACGCTCCAAAACTAATAATGGGAGCGATTCTCAAGCGAATTCCAACAAGCAAGTATTCAACGATATCGGGATCCGCCTACTTATTCAAAGCGAATTGTAAAATCGCCAGTCTTTTGATGACTACTTGGTGGCAGTGATGTAATCACAGGGTCTACTCACATCTGCAGACATCTCACTCCTATCGCGATGTACCTTGACTGAATTACGACTGATTAAAGTACATTTGCGAAATTCGTTGCATCATCGATGCAATGGCTTAGAAACGAAACCAAAGCGTCAATCGAAAAGTCGCCCCTCAAAATTTAGTAGCACAAATAATTGTTTCAATTTAAAAAGCGTTCAATAATGAACACTTTGGTAGATCAGTGCTGTACAATAAGGTACCCTTAGGTTCTTGGTGCTAGAACTGCATTCATTGATGCATTGTGCTTATGAAAAGGAGCAGCCAAACCTAAAAACTCGGACCTCCGTTGAGAGCAAAACTATGCATTCAAGCACCAGTTAGAAATTTGAAGCGGTTTACATGAATTGCGAGAGCGTGGTAAAATTAAAAGACATACCAATGCAATGGTACTAGCACCCGAGTCAGTAATGGTGGAATTCATGCATGATCAAGCAGTAATGTCCATAAAAAATATCTAACCTGATTTTACTAACATTATTCAAGGGAAACTTGACACATTTTAGCTTTAAAAGGCTGCCATGACAAGGCAACCTATTCTATAGCGGCAAATAGCCGCTGATGTCAAAGCTCCTACGGGAACAATATACTTACGCAAATTTAACAGATTCAAGAGTTTATGAATTAATATTAGATTGAAAGGAGGCACCAGTTTGGATTCTACAAACACACGTAAAGTTACTTTCAACGCGATTCTTCCAAAGGATTATTGTCAACGTACCAACGCACATTAAACAAAGGTAATTAGATAAGCTTTACTGCGAGGAAAATAAAAAAATTTGATCGCGCTAGTAACTTCAATACCAAGTGCCAAATATAGCACTTCATTAGAATCTATCTACTAATTGGAATGCGATTCGCCTTAAAGTTATAAAGTAAAATTAAAGTAGGATCAGAATGGCGATTACACTCACCAAGAACGAGCAGATGATGTAGAAGCTTATAAAAAATGGGTACGCGAAGGCCGAGCCACAGACTGTGCGATCCGCTGCTCCCGTGGCTGTTCGGCTCTCATCAGACTGCTTGTCGCAATAGGCCGTCTCTGTAGCACACCATCCACGTGGTAGAGCATCGAATCGACAACGGTGTTAAAAAGTGGCAAAATATAAGCAAACAAACTGACAATGGTAGTGCGCAGTAAGGTGTTTTTCTACAAATCAAGGGGAGCCAATAGCTTAATTCATATCTGCTTATTTCCTGTTTTCCTTTACCCCAGGTTAACACCCACGTCTTTAACAAACGATCATCAAAGCAATGGAGAGAGATAATGGTTGTTAAGTCAAACAGAACGGATAAGAGACAACTTAGACGGCAACTTTTCTACAATTGTTATCATAATCTCACCCACATGGATAAGTTATCCGTTGTCTCAAAATTATATTAATCGGGCCTCAAATTTTCCAAGGCCGAGGGAAGTGTAAGCTAATTTGAAATCCCATAGGCTGCACATTTTAAACATGAATTTTGGATTTGGTGGCTTAAATTTCCTTGAAACTATACAACAACTACACGGTTGCAGCAGCGTAATTTGTCCAAAGTGAATGCACCAGGCAGCGTGGTAGAATTAGTGCATACAAAGGTTTACCTCTACTTAAATTCACCAAATCCGGAAAGGACAGAGAGCTTGGAAGAGAACAATCATGAAATTCCAGTCCTCCAACAACATAAAATCATTCCCGGGTCCCTCTCCCAGTACAATTTTAGATCGACCCAAACCGTGCATGAAGCCTTGATACAACGCCTAATCTAAGAAACAGTGCATTCGTTACAGTATTCGCTATTCCCCAATTGGATAAGACTATACAAATGGCCTTAATGCTTTCCCGTGCCCTAAGTTTACATAATAAAATGTGAGTTTCATTTTTATAGCACAAAATAATGAGAGGAGCAACAGCTGAGATAGCCGATAAGACCTTGTGAACTAGGAGCATTGTAAAGTCGTTCGCAAAGCAAGGTAGGACATTCAAAGGCAGCGAGGTGCGTTTCCTGATAAATTTGTTAAAAGAAGAAACGCAATTGATGTTGTTTTGGTAGCATTCAAAAACATAAATCAAGTAGTAGACTGCAAAGTCTAAGTGTGGCTGTTGGACGCGCGGAACAGGTATACCTTGTAAAAGGCTGAAATAGTCAGAGATAGACTGAATGACGTTAATTTCTGTGACATAAATGCAGCCTTCGGGAAAAAATTACGCGAGAGGACCAACTAGAATAAAAGCAATTTCCTTAAGGCATGGAGACTCGTACGGTAAATACTAATATTTGGAAAATATTAAGAAAAGTATAACCTACCGCCAGCACAACTGAACATTATGTCCTGCCAGGCTTCACCGGTTGCTGAGCGGAAGAGAATTAAGACAGCCTGGGGAAAAGTCTGAAAATTCGCATTTACGGTGATCGCGCTGTCGGGATTGTTGAGAGCTATTTTGCCAAACATTTGCATGCCGATCACAGCGTAGATGAAGAACAGCATCAAAATCAACAGAGCCACATACGGGAGTGCCTAGGTTGGAAACGTAGTAGGCAATCCAAATTCCAGTCTCTGAATCAGTTGCCTTTACTCAAATAGTATGGGCTTTCATTTGTGACACTCCAATCAAAAATACAAATTTCTATTCAAAAGCGGCTACGTGCAGTGCTAATACTTCTGATAAATGGTTGATAAGAACAAGGCAACCACGTGCCAATATTTGTTAAGATAAAAAGCGAAGTGATTAGCTTCCTACGATCAAACCACTACGCACTTCAGGACTTTTTTGTTATTATTTGCTAAAACTTACTTGAAATGATTTGACAAATGTCCACAAAAGTGTACGAATGCCCTCACCCCGGCTTAGCAGCTTGACCAATCGCATCACTCGAAAGAGACGGAAGAAGTTTATGCTAATAAACTTCGAGTTTTCCTAAAGCAATACAAAATTTAGAAACAATTTAAATAAATCTCTTTTAAGCATAAAAAATCACGGTGAATTTTAAAAGCATAATAAAGTGTCACTACTAATTATAGGCCGTCGTTATTTTTAAACTACCTATAAAACGAAAAAAATACCGTGCCTTAACCTGCAAGTTATGCTAGAAACAAGTCAATTGGTCTAAATTATAACGAAATTTCCAAAGAATTAACATGCTTTACTGTTGCTATGTAGTTTTTGAAAGATCGAAGACCTGATTTACAAATGCGGGAATCGTAAAGCCATGGCTTTTGTCTGAGTTTGTAGTCAGTGTATGCGGTTTTAAATTATTAATGTTGTAAAAAAATAACTCACGGCAATGTGCGAGAGTACGATGTCAACAAAGCTCCCGACAACTATGATGAAATCAAAAACATTCCAAAGGTCATTGAAATAGTTCTAAAAAATCAAACAAGACATATTAATAAGTCATTGCAAAGACAGCCTGTAAGCATGACATAACAGCAGATGATTACTTGATTTGTTGTCAAGTTCGCTTCATAACTTCTTCCCATTTCCAGTTTACTTTTAAACAGTTGACTTCATGTTCTTGTCTACACCCTTTGCAGCGCCTCTGTGTGCCAACGATGAGGTTACTCCCGTAATGAACTACTCACAGCGTTAAGTGTAACTCCTCTCCTCATTTATTGGCATACATTTTATGTTATCAGCCCCAGAATATCAGGCCTACGGAGGGCAGTGTCGCACAAAGAAACTGTCTACACACAGTTTATTTTACACAAGAGTAGGACAAATAAACAACGCATTTTGACAAACGTAGTATGCTGCCCGAAAATCACCATTAAGACTAATAACAGCAATCGGCAATTAGGATTGGAAACAAATTCCAGAGAGTAAATAGTTGGTGAATAAAATCCCAAATTTATACGTTGGTGTTGAGCCAATCAGAGGACACTTATTGTGTTATAGACAAAGGTAGAGAATATAGCTTTTGATCACTCACAGTGTCGTAAAGAAACAAATTACTCTAAAGTTGATCAATTACAAAAAGAGACTTGCCTTGAAACCTAAGGCTGTAAGCTTGAGGATGAATTCAACTGTAAATACGCCAGTGAATATCATGTTAAGGTAGTCGAGTGCGTCAGCATAAACAGGAGGTTGGCCCTCAAACTGGAAATGAGAACACAATCTTGTAGCATAGTGAATAATACCTGCAGAGGATAAGAGCTATCACCACGGCCCTAGCTTCACAGGTAAGCCACAACTTACATTTTATATAACAAACTACAAGTCCCATCTTCAGTACAGTTACCTACTTTCCGTTTTTCTTATTTGTAAAAACAAGAGCACAAGTTACCGAACTTCGTAAGACCATGTTATTAGCACCCGAGGAACTTATCTGGTATTGGAAATGGTTGCCAACTTCGTTCAGTTAGGTTTCCTTGAGCCAAGCCCACACGTGACAATTAACACAACCTTTTTATTCCACATTAATGCATTTTGCATTGCCACCCTAGTACGCGCCTTCTTCGCCTTCAAGACGCAGAAATCAATCGTGGGAACTAATAAACCAAACCTAGCAGTGAACAGTAGTATTTCTGAGTCCATTCACCGAGCTACCCTAAAGGATCTTAAGTTCCACCCGCCTAATTAAAGCTGGGTGGGCTACTAGATAGGGGGTGAAGGTAATTAGTAAAAAAGGTAGGCGAAGTGAAACTTGCATGACTTATCTGGTCCTAAAATCATCGCATTCGCATTTTTCGAGGCAACCACTTGGTATAATGGAAATGAGGTTCCTGGTGCAACCAACAGCCTTGGAAAAAGTAAATGATTTAATGACATTTACCATTGGTCGAATGTTTGAAGTTTATGAGGTTATTCAGCCGAACACATCAACCAATAAAACTTAGAAACACGATACGCACTTAAGCGATTAGTTGACAAATACTTTTAAAAATGTGCGCTTGCGGTTTTGCACGAATAAATTAGTGGTGATGACAATGACACTAACAAAATTTTTGAGTCCTCATACACCTTGGAAGCAAATACTCGATTCACCACACATCAACCAAATATTAA